ATAAGATCTGACTATGAATATCGCTCTTGATCTATCGACAGTGACTTTTCTAAAGAACAATAGTGAGTTAAGATAAGGGCGATAAAAGAGCCTGTGACAAATTTTTAATACGATATTTGAAGGTGCTTTCACATAGACGGAAAATGAACAAGAACACGCCAATTTCTCTTTTTGAGTGTTAAATATCGACAAATTTAAACGTCAGACGTTTCTTGTTCATTTCCATCTATGTGAAAGCACCTTTAAATATCGTATTAAAAATTTGTCAAAGGCTCCTATCGCCCTTATCTTAACTCACTGTTGTCCTTACACAGAGCCTTCATTAACATAATTGTTTTCTAAAGAATTTCTATAATCGAGTTACAACCCAGATAGCACACATAGTTCTACGAATATTCTTCTGGAGTGCAAATATTCGTAATTTCGGAATATTCGAATCGACTATTCTATAAATATATATAGATTGTTACAATTAGAAATCGCATATTCATAACAAAGAAGAACGCTCTTGGAATATTCGTCGAGAGATGCCTTTGGAATATTTGTTCGGAATAATTTTTGAATATTCATCGGGTTCGTGTATTGCACGTTGCTTATTGCGTAATACACTTATCTTATGCAAAAGGCCTGTGAAACCTGTGATCATACCATATATAACCGACACGCTATATTCGATAGATTATTCTACTCGCATTCGAAAAAGATTTATAGCGGTGCCAGTCGAACGTTCCACGAACGTAAGATAAATATATAAAAATGACCTACGGAATATTCCAAGTGTTCTTGAAGAATATTCTTAAAATGTTCGCGGCAGCGTCGCGACAAAGTTGCAAGAAAGGAAGCATCTCTATGCGGCCGTGCGTCACCGCCGCGCCGTCCGAAAACTGGAAATGATTGACCGCAATTTTATTAGAAAGTACCGCGAAGGCGACGAGACGAGCGGCGAAATTAGAGAGAGGCGGATTACACCGGTACTAATGAAACCGTCGCGTTCGAAGAGAAGCGAATCGCGTCGCATGGAAAGCTGGCCCGGTTTAATTGCAGAAGTCAAACATCGTATGCAACTTTCACCGACGTCTGTGTTTATGCATTATATGCCCTTTTGCTCCGCGGACTACGGGCGGAGGGGAGAGGTGGAGGCAGGAGGAGGAGGAGGAGGAGGAGGAAGGCAGTCGAACAGTGGTAAAGAGAGGCGTATAATATATTTCATTAGTGGGCGAAGCTTTCTTCGACCATTATTCGACATATGCTACGCAGCGTCACCGTTAAACGCAACGAAAGAGATATCTCTCTTTCTCTCTTTCTCTCTCTCTCTCTCTCTCTCTCTCTCTGCTCGAAGCATTTCAACTTGGAGAGACTCCGCCGGGATCTCAACGTTTACTGTCACTTTGAAACTCGAAAGTGCACGCTGAAAAAAAGAAGTTCGCTACCGTAGCTAATCAGGGTTTGCTAAAAGTATTTTGCCGCAATAACTGTAAATTTCTAAATTGCAGCAAACGATTTGCTGTCGCACCTAATGCAATAGGCACAGTCGCAAAATATTTCGCTGTCGCAATCAAACATTAGCTGTCCGTACTTTACAACTGAAATTTAGCTGCCACGTGCAGTTTTACGGCAGCTGCACGGGGAGAGAATTTTCTTTTAAAATTTACCCTGAAAATCATGTGATCGCGGGACAACATGGCATTTTGATCAACTTCCTGACAGTTTGAAGTTTTACCATAGATCTTACTAGTAAAATTTATCCTGAAAATCATGTAATCGTGGGACAAAGTGGCATTTTGAAGAATTTTGTGTTTAAAATTTAAACAAACTCTCACAAAATTCTTGAAAATGTCACGTTGTCCCACACCGAGAAAAATACTTTAATAATTATTAATATACCCTAAGTTTGAACTCGATTACTTTGTCAGAAATATATAAATGTTAATATAAATTCGTGATATTAAATAGTAATGTACGTGACCGTACAGTAAAAATATCATCAATTAATATATAATATTTGGTAATTCTTAATATACCATGTATTAACTATAAAGAAATATTTATTAAGACCGGACACAAAAAATTCTTACATTTATTATTAATATACGGTTCTTTCAGTGCACGATTACATGATTTTCAGGCTAAAAAACTTTAGCCTGAAGAGAAAATTCTCCCCGTGTAGATTTGTCTTTCCGTTCATCGCGTTAATCGTAAATAGAATTGTTATCTTTTTATATGCGAGAATAATTAAGATGGTCATTTATAGCGAACGAGATGAGCATTCGCGATGGGGAAGACTGACAATATCTTGAAACTCGGCTATTCGAAGACAGCGAGAGCCGATACAAGCGTCGCCTTCCCCCATTTTACTTCCTTTTCTTCTCCCTTTTTAGAAACTCGATTGTTTTCCAGTTTCACGTTTGTGTGATCGATGAGATATTTATATAATAAATTATTTATATACAATATATTATATATCGGCACATGTTTCTTCATTCCCGTTCAAGTTTAGCAGCGCGCGCTAGGTGCACGTAATATACCAAGGTGATGGAGTGCACTTTTCTTGACCTTCGCGCGCGCCGACATTTGCATCCGCACGCCACGGCCGCCGGCACGGCGAGCCCGGCGAAACGGCGGAATAGAACGAGAAACGATTTGCGGTGAGCGCGCGTCTGGCGGAGAAACGGCGCGTTTTGTTGAAAAATTCAGCTAAAACCCGCCGCGCGCCCATCGCGATCGCGTGTAACGCGAAATTAAAATCAGGTCAATCCCCATCGTTCTCCCGCGCCAAGCAGACGTACGGTATTTTTGGCTGAGTCATACGCACATACGTAAACAATAACGTGTGCGTGATGTGCACGTACACCGCGCGTGCGTTATGCGTTTGCAACGTGCGCTCGCCCACACGCGTCAAGAGCGTTGCACGCTCGGTCCGCGGCGTATAACGCGCCCGGCCCGAACAATATGCACCGCATGCGTCGTCCAATTGGTAGGCAAAGTTAATGGATTCCTCTACGTAGGCTCGGCAAACGCGAATTTATTGGCCACGTGCACAATGCATGAACGCGATCTGTTATAATTCCGTCGCGGCCCGGAGCTGCGAAGGACAGTTGCAGATACGACGGATAATAAAAGTCGGTACCGGAGCTCGTGCACGATTGGAGAAATTGGAGAATCTCTCGGATACTCGTGGGGCGAGTCGCGCGATCGAACTACGTATACGCGAATCCTCCACAGCTGTCGTTGAGAGAGCGACAGTCCTCTTACGAGATAGGATTCTAATACGAGATAGCAGATTTTCAGCGTCCAAATTCAATCGCAAATCTTTTTTTTTCTTTTCGCAACGATTGCACGATCTAACGATCGGTTTTCCACCAAACAGATTTTACCCCAAGGACAATAGAGTCATGGCGGAACCAACGGACGGTGTCCATTAATTTAGCGGGAACTCCGCTGTCCCGTATTAGGAGACTTTTCTTTACTTTAAAATTAGATCAACCTTTGTCGCGCAGTATCGTGTTTTATCCAGGATCTAATTATATCCGGTGTGTGATTAATGAGCTCTACGAATCTCCGAATATTTTGCAGGTGCCAACGCGAGAAATCTGAGACTGTCGTCCATAACGAGAATTCTATTACTGTAAAATAGCGTAACAGGTGATTATAAATCAAGTTTAGAGTTTTTAATAAACAAGAAGATATTTTTATCCGTGTCTACTAAAATTAAAATTTTCCAAAGAGGTATCCTGAAGACGAGAGGGAAGGGGCGGCAAATAACTCGAGAGCCTATAAAGAATTGATAAATGAAATTCCTTTATCATTTTCGAATGAGCGACAAAGACTGCGGCTCAAAGCTTGCGAATCGCACGCGATCACGAGGGCGAGTCTACGCGCGTGGCGACACGCGCGATCTTAAATTTCCCCGGGCGAGCGAGGTGGGAAATGTCGAAAAATCCCCGACAAAGTTGTCCGCGTGACGTCTAGCTGTTTCAACGTCGATTTAAAATTCCAATTCAATGAACAAAGCGGCATTGTGGGAACACGACGAAATCCCGGTCGACTGAATTTATCGGGCATCGATTCAATTACGCGAGAATTGTATATAGACGCGCAGCCGCGTGTACGCGTTATGACATTTTACGAGGTGGTCCTCAGCCGGAAGGAATCCGCCGGAGCGAAAGGGTCAAGCGAGACGAATGGGCGCAACGGCGCGGCGATGCATCGCTATTAAATGCAAAGCGCCTGTAACGGTACGTCCGTAGCCGTAGATTTTGGCTCCTCGCTCGCTGCATAATGTGCTTCGCACGTGCGATCGGCAGGGCGTCGCGCCGCGGTCGCCGCCGCCGCCCCGCCGACCCCGCGGCCTCCGCGCAACAACCGTGACAATTGTACGTACAGTACGTAGCCGTGCGGAACAGATCCTTACGTCCCCGTTGTGCAATCTGGGGCAAGTTCCGTAAATGTTTGCCGCGTATCCTATTACGGCACAGCATCAAGATTTAAACCAAGGCCGACGGTATTTGCGTGGTTACCGTATTATGTAAGCTAATCGAGCATGCATACGAGGATCAAACGGGCTGGTATCGATTCCATTAAAGTCCCTAACGTATCCACGCCGTGCTGGCCGTACAACACTTCTCTCTCTCTCTCTCTCTCTCTCTCTCCCCCTCCCCCTGTATCTCCTCTCAAGTTCCACGCGCCTTTCCTCTCGCGACTTACGAAAAATCTTGCCCCAATTAGCAAGGAGGTCTCGCGTACGGTTTTATCATTGTTCTATCCGAGTTCTTTTTTTATTACAACACGGTCCACATTCTCGATGCAGATTACCTCGCAATTTCTCTCCCGTGCAGACGCGGAAGATAATTTACATCCGATGTCCCATTAAGTTCCGCGTCGCGCGCGAACTTTTATGCTCGGCCCGCAAGGCCGAGATCTCGCCGGCGGCAACGCTCTATTCGCGCGAGATTTTTCCCTCGTCCGCCCTGGCGAGGGCTGTTAAAGTGTCGTTAGCTTACGTCTTGTGCGGAGAGAACCCTCGTGGCAGCCTCAACGGGAACGTTTCCGGAATGCGGATGATGATGTTGCGACTCGACTGCATTATCGCGGTTGCAGACGTTCTTGTACCAAGGTAAACCGTTCCCGCTGTCCCTGTCGCTCCGATACTTTCGCCACACGTGCCTGATACGCATATTAGAAAAACTTATAGCTGGCTGTGCGTGTCAAAAGGAGGGGGGGGGGGGGGAAATAACCGGCCGGCACTCTTCGAGTATCCCTTTCGCAATAAGCAAAATTAGCATACCTGACGCCGAAGGCGATCCCCAAGGCGATGATCAGCGGTAATAACGTCGATATGCATGCAAGCAAAACGGTCTGTATGTCTGAAAAGTTGGCAAGGATACCTGAAATACAATAATCATAAAATTCTTGAGGCGAAAGTACGACAATAACTTGAATCCTTTACTAGCTGATCCTCCCGCATGATTATCCTGTCAGCTTACGCGCGCACGGCGTATCGACGGATACGGATACGTATAAATGCATAAATCTATGACGATTATCTCACGACGGCGCCAATAATTCTGCAGTCTCTCGCTGAATAACGTCTCGGTCTCTTCCGAGTCCTTCGCGAGGCGCGACCGGATAAGATCTCTCGAAAGAAATGCCGCTTTCCGTGCTTATCGAGCGAGCGAGCGAACTTTATGCAAAATATCGCTTTCTTTATTAGTCCCCGTCGCGTTTTTCAGGATCAAGCGTTTTCCCAACCGGACACTCGATCGGCGAATTTTCGCCGCGGCGAAAGATCGACCGCAAATTTGTCTCATAAAACCGACAATCCCGAACTTATCCGGGCCGCCGCCGAGGGACGCGTCCCAGGTGATTTTCAACGGTGACCGAGTTTGAAATGCAGCCCGGGAGATGAGTCAGGGCGACTTGGTTGAGGATTCAACGTCTCGACCTCTCGGATGCATAATTAATTAAAATTCGGACCGTGAAGAGGCGACGGCACCCACTTCGTGTCCCCGGCGAGCGCTTTACGGCCGTATCCTCGCGGCACATCGTGCTACTTACTGTGATCGAGCTCGTCCTGCTCGACGAGGTACTCCGTCACGTTGTAGACGCGATGGTGCGGCTTGACGGTGGTGACGACCGCGGGGTCGCCCGTCATCGCTGCGGGCGGGTTAGTCGTCTCGGCGTTAAACGCGGCCGCGACCACGTTGGAAGGTAGAAACGTCATCGACGTGAGATTCAGCTTTCCCGCCGTCGTCCCGTCGTACGTCGTGCGGTTGTGCGCCGTCGTTTCCGCCATCCCGCCCGCGTGCTCGACGACGCATCACCAGGAGACCCGAAGACCGCGTCGATCCGCGGGGGATGAGCGCGAGGGGGCGGCGAGGCTGACCGGGCTGGTTCACGTTACGCGTGCACACGTTTGATCCCGCGCTTCCACGATCATCCCGCCTCTCCTTCACATCTTACTCTCGCGACTAATCCAATTGTGGAGCTAATCGCATTTAATTCGCCTTCCCTCACTCGTTTCGGTGGTAACCGTCGCGAATGATAGATCAGCGCATCGGAGACGACACGTAGAAGCCTTACGCTTTCACGCACGTGTATCTGTATATGTACATGTACATACAATTGCCCACGCACGTCATTTCATCTGTGAGCTTTCGCGCAGATTAGACTATTAATACGGTATGAGATCGTCGTTCGGTTACCTCCTCCTTAAATGGTAGCGATATCAGGTACGACGTTAAAAGCATGACGCTAAGGAGACAGATCTGCCCCGACTGTTTCCTTACATTGTCAACCTCGTGCTTTCTGCCGCCTATCTCGGCTTCGGCTGCCAAATAATACGTTGAAAAGTCGCGGCCTCCAAATCACATTTGCGGAAAAATTACGGGATAACGGCCCTCTTCATCTGCAGTTACTCGATTCTCTTTTCCTCGTCCTTATCGTCTGCCTTTTCACTGCTCGCATGGCCGTCCGTCGTACAATTTATTCTTCTTCCTCTGCCAAGTCCGCATGCGTCACTGCAACAAATTTGCCCTCCAGTTAATCGAAAGTACGCTGTTACAAAAATTACATGTATAATTACAATCGTTACAGCGGGTAATATTGGGACCACCTGTTAAAGGTGTATGTATATATTTACACACGTCAGTAAATTCACACCTTGTACGTAAAATGATCACCGTATACAATAAATAAACTGCTTGCTTTTAATTGTGCCAATTTTTGCAATGCTTTGCAATTTTTCGTCATGTGGTAAACTAGTATTTGCACAACAAAGCGTAATAAAAAAAATGTTTTTGTAACAGTACATGAATTTACATATTTTCGCTACTATTGTAATACGTACGTAATTTCACATACTTTTTTTACACACGGAAAGACCGGCTAGGGCAAAAATAACTGAAGTGAAAATGCCGTATAAATAGTAGAGGCATTTACATTGATTTGTGTTGCAGCATTCATTAAGTTTGCTGCACAAAACGCACATAGTTGTCTCCACTACTTATCATACCAATGTGGGTATGACAACCACAGATATAGCCGTTCGAAATATTACTATTTATTGGGGTTGTGCCAACCCTAATTGGTAGAGGTGTGACATTTTCATGTTATCTTTACGCAAAATATCGCAAAATGCTCCAGGAACGTTGCCAATGTCATTTCTTTACATCTTGGAGCCCCCAACTTCGTTTTAACACGTTTTTAAAACGCTAAATGGCGTCCAAATAACGTCAAAAGTCGCAATTTTTCTTAGCAAACATTTCTAACGTCTACGCTGTATCCAAAGAGATTTATGCCTAAGACTAGTTTTTGTTTACTTTTTTTTAGACACGTTACTGCTTTTATAGCCTGAAAATGATATGTAATTTCAATAATTTGTTCCATGCTTTTTAATATGTTATGTTCCATGTTACATTTTTTCACATATATTTAGCCTTAATAAATGTCGTAAATTGTACTATCAAAACGTTAAGGCCCGGTTTCACCAACGTTGTTTAGCTTGAAGCTTAGCTTAATTCATTCTTTGCTTCTTTCTAAAGTAGCTGGAAAGAGACAAAGAATGAATTAAACTAAGTTTAAAGTTAAGCGACGTCGGTGAAACCGGGCCTAAGTTTTATTGATGCCCTGCCCACCTCTGGCCACGGCACTATCAAGAACATTATCAAAGTAATGCAAAATCCGGAAAAACAAAACGCAAAAGATGCCAAAAAATAACATCAATATGCCACACCTCTACACTGAAAAAAATTTCTGGTTGAATATGGACGAATCAGATAATTCCTTTAGGATTTACCAGAATTCCTTTAGGATTTACCAGAATTCCTGTAATCCTACAGAAATTCTGGTAAATCCTAAAGGAATTCTGGTAAATCCTAAAGGAATTATCCGATTCGTCCATATTCAACCAGAAATTTTTTTCAGTGTACTAATTAGACATGTGGTAACTATATCGGTCCCTCCGTGCAGTATACCCGAGGGTTATACTTCTCACGTACTCTTATTTAATTTTCCAAACGCAAAACGACCTGATTTCCTCGTCCCGCCCTCAAGACACTGTGCAATCAGTAACTAAATTAAAGTTCCAAGGTTCGATAATCGACAGTCGTGTTTGAAAAGTCCTAAAATAACAGAACACTTAATTGAATCTGAGACAGTCCCTCCGTGCAATTCCACCTGACGGTTTAATCATCGAGCCCCCTGATATTTTGACAACTGTAAAGTTAAGATTTAATACTAGAGAGACGTCTCGCCCGACGTGAGCGCGAGCAATCTAAAGAGGCCATCGTCGAGTTTACGGGAAATTTCGGAGCATCTTGTACGGGGAGATAGGCGCTTTAAGACTCCGTAGCACTGTAAGCGCCTTATGTAGGCTGTAAGCCCGCGATTATGCCAGCCGATACATACGCAAGCGACACACCGCGAAAACCATCCAGGCGACGACGGGGCCGCCGTCGCCGTCGTCGTCGTCGGGCGATGGATATTCGATGTACTCGATACGCTATGTAGCGCGCATAATGCCGCTGCGTGCCGCGATATATGCACCTCGTGGCCTGTTTGACGGACCTCGCTTCGGTCTCGCAAAGTGCACCGTAGTAGCGCGCAACGGCGGCATTCTATGCAACGAGGGCAAGGTATGCGGGGGTAAAGTTCAATCTGGCGTTAAGCGTGCCGCACCGCGGTTCTCCCGGCGCCGCGGACTGTCCTTGTATTCGGGGCTGCGGCCGCAGGGTAAGAAGTGTGATCTCGCGGTCCAGCACGCACCCCGCGGTAGCGTCCAGCAGCTATTCGGTAATTTTGTGTACGCGCGGATGATTTTTCTTTTTTCAAATTTACCCTGAAAATCTTGCGGTCGTGGGACGGCACGGCGTTTCGAAGAATTTTGTTGAGACTTTGTTGAAATCCTACCATACATTCTACTAATAATTATACTTGGTATTTATTTTACTGGTAGAATGTGTGGTAAAATTTCAAACAACTCTCTTACAGTTCTTCAAAATATGCCATGTTGTTCCACGATTACATAATTTTCACGGGGAAACTTTAAGGACTGTTTTACAAGCGCGAACTCCAAAACTACAGCTTTACTCGCAACTCTCTCCCCCCCTTCTCTCTCTCTCTCTCTCTCTCTCTCT